TTTTATGAATGTTATGAATTTATTAGTATTTACTAGAAGTAAAAAAGAATATTAAGGGGCCGATTATACCGTAGACCAATATTACAAAGCTCTTCTCATACAAAAAAGCACTAAATACTGTCAAAATGCCATGTATTTGCTATGCGTTCAGGCGTTTCACACACAAAATGCAACTTCACTCATATATTATCAAGCCATATCTCAAAAAAAAAAATAGTTGTGACAGCATGTTTTTTTTACATTTGTGTGTTTTCTAGATTAGGTTTTCTATCTAAAATGTCTTACTGCTTAGCAACCACATGAAATTTTGATAGTATTTAGCACCATTTTGTATGAAAAGCGCTACATAACATAGCCTGTACGTAACGTTGGACTATTATGTGGCAAAATCAGCCATAATAATTAATATTCTTTTCTGTTACTAGCACAAATAAACAAGATTACTTGTAATCTAAAATTGGTCTATTTTATGGCAGAGTTGGTTTCTTAGTATTCTTTTCGAATATTAGCACAGATAAACAAGATTACTTATAATTTAAATAATAACAAATAACTTGTAGACATAAATTATGTTAATTTTCTTAACTCACATTTGATAACTTTTAGAAAATCATTGAATTTTGTATAAACTAACAAGACAAAACATAATAAATATAGTTTTACCATACGTTATGAAAACGTTCAAAACAAAATTTTTGGATCTAAATTTTTCATATTATTTGTAGGATATAGATTGTAAATACATTTCACTTGAAGTATATCTACGTTCTAGAATATAGATGGATCTCATTAAATTTATAAAAAACTCAATTTTTTTGTAGAGCGACTTCAAATAGATAAAATTTTTAGTTTATGGAAGAATATTAAAGAAAGTATTATTTAGAATATTGTTAAAAGTTGCAATTGAAAAATTTAATAAACAGGACTTTTTATGTGGATAATGCTAATGATATTCGAAATGTTTGCTTAAATGATCGATTTGCTTCATAAAAATGTTATGCAAATTTGTATTCGTTGACTTGTTAACTTTTAAAAATATGATTAATTATATTATTATATATGAACTGCAGCTTTACACATAAACTTTCAATCATCTTAGACTTTCTTAGATATGAAGATATTTCATTTTAAGATATAAGGCTTAATTAACGAAAACTATTAATCAGAAGAAATAGGTTTCAGTGAGCATTATGAAATATTAACCAAAGGTTAATTTGACGCAAAAGGCATAGGCTATTAGTTTGTGAAATTACCAAATTATTTTGACCTTTCATTAAATTGTCATTAGATCAATCGTTGATCAGAGTATTTTATCTAAAATAATACATTGCAAAAAATTATATTTAAAATAATCAGTATTAGAATATAAAATTTTGTAAAACTTGTTAATGGTTAGTTTATAAAAAAGGCGGTCAAATAAATAAATAAAAAAATATTATCATTACCGTAAAAATTGAGAGAAGCATCCATCGTAGGACAATTATTTCCAAAACTTTCTTGCATCGCGGACTCCATTCCAGCAAAAATCTAATGGTTCAGGATTCTAGTAATACAAATAAAAATATTAATAAAACTGGATAGAATTATCTATAAAATAGAATTAATAGTGCTTTTTTAATTAAAAGGGGATTATTAAATATTAAATGTGAGTGTGGGTGTTAAGAAGAACCCATAACTAATCATTAATAACTTAATTAAATATTGGATAAATAAATCCTAATTTACTACCATTATATTGCATTTTGAGTGTTTAAATATATTTTTGTTATTTTTAACAGAGACTAAAATTATAGAGTTTCTTCAGACTTATGTGTTTAATTTTATGTATGTATAATTTTATATGACGCTAAAAGCTACATGAAAATTGAGCTTTTGATATACTAATTGGATATTGCATTGGATTTCGTACATCATTTATAGAGATGCTACAAAATTTAATAACAAATCGAATGCTTGTAATTAAACATAATAAATTTCAACTAAATTCTCAAAAAAAATTAAGAATGTTTTTAAATTATATTAAATCAGTACCTTAAATCGTAAATTTCCAACTGGTGGTTTTGCATACGGGATACCCAAAAAACAATTATATTTTTTCCCTGTGGCTGTAGTTTTCGATTTTCCTTCGAGTTGCCCTTGTTCCACCCTTACCCTTGGGCCAGCATTTGCAGGCGCAAAAATCAGTGCACATATCACTAATATAAAATAATTCAAAATCATTTTACACTAAACACTATTCACACTAAAGACTAACGGAGTCAATTGTTGACGCTTCTTATATAAGTTACCATTAATAATATTATTGTTATTTTTTGTCATAACATAAACAAATTATTAGTTGTTTTAATTTTATAATTTATAAATATATTGTGAAATAGAGAATTATTTTTATACTTTTACTATTTACTTGGCTCTTGAATAGGAAGTAAATATATCACTTACCTTAATTTAAATTTTTTTTGAACATAAGAAAGTTTTCGAACTCTTTTTTGTAAAATCAAATAAAAGCTGATGATATGATTGGGGAAATAAATTTATATAAGCCTAAAGAGATGAATCAAAATTTTATTTAGCTCACGAAGTATCATAAATAAATTGTTGTTAAATATTCGAAGAAATATTCCATGTTCATTAGGTTTTTGGTAAAAATTTGTGAGTGATTTATGTATTTAAATAATAATTCCTACTAATTTTGTACATATACAAATGAGTTTCCGCAAGTACTTTTTTGCAAACTTATAACTAATTTTAGGGCATTTCTTAATTTTTTTATAAAAAAAACTACTATTTCTTTCAAAGATCCTTAGAATTAATGTTGGAATTTCTTCATTAGCTTTGTGTTCTAACAATAATTTAAGTTGCTGAAAACATATTATATATAACATTAACATTATTATTGTGACTTAAGAAAAACATATTTTTTGCAAAATGAACAAATTTAATAATAATAAAATGAATGGTCTAGCGATTGATTTGAAAGCTAATTCCAGGATTTGAAAAAGGATAAAAGGGAACTTAATGCTGAATACTTAAAAACGTGACTAAAATAAGTAAAGTTTTTAACATAGATTTTATTTAGAGGCGGATCTATCATTATTATAGAAAAGATACAAAAATAATTCAGATTCTAGCGAATTATTCAATTTATATGCTAAACGGCTGTAAATGAACGGTCAAATTTTTTTTATTTCATTAATTATTTCTCATCAATCATTTATTTCTATGCAACTGCGAGAAATAATAAATAAAACTAGTGGGGTGGGTGGCATCGTGCCTTAAGGCAAATTGCTGGAACTTCCCGTACCGTAACGAAATGTTCGAGGATTACTGAATGTTTTCAAATAGATTATTATAAATATTGAAACATTGTCTAATATTTATAAATATTATATAAACTGAATTGCAGAGTTGAAATTATTTGTAAAGTATATTAGAACTATAGTCAGAATTAAAAATAAATATTTTCGATAAACAAAAAACAAAAAAAAAAAAAAAAAAAAAATTAAAAAGAAAAAAAAAAAATTCCAAAATCGATTATTTTGTTAAGACAAGCAGAAAGTTCTTTGAATCATTTAAATCGGACGCTTAGTTCTCTCAAAAACTGCCATTTTTTACATATTTAGCTCCGTATCTTCAAAATGGCTGGGCCTGCCTTTGCCAAAAACTAATAAACACTTCTCCCAATCATTACTAATTGAATGTTTTTTAGATCATTCAAATCGGATACTCCGTTCTCTCAAAAATACGATTTCTATTTTCTGCACTCTTGGCTCCGTATCTCCGAAACGGCTGGACCTGCCTTTGCCAAAAACTAATCAGCTCTTTTCCCTATCAATAGGAATCGAATGTTTTTTGAACCATTCAAATCGGTTGATCCGTGCGCCCTAAAACGTGACTGGAAATTTGTATCCACACATACATACACACATACACACACACACACACACACACACATCCATTTTTTCTGAGGTATGCCAAAACGTTCAGAAACCTTCAAAACGTCGAGAAATGTAAAAATTTTCAATTCCGATTTTCGGCCCATTACAATAACTTACCCTACGGGAAGTTAAAAAACAACTACGAATTGATTTCAAATATTGAAATTTTTCAATGGTCCTCATTTTATTCATTGGAAAACTTGTTTTACAAAAATCTATAAAATTAGCAATATCAAAATGTCTATTGATCTATAAAACAAACAAAACATTTCTTGTTTTAATTTTTTTGTAAATTTTTATAATATGCGTAACAATATAAGCTAACACAGCAAATTTTCATTCTATGGTGTTTGTTTATTGTAGCAAAATTATTTTTGCAAATAAAGCAACTATGTGAAGTTATATTTCCGTGTGACACATATATAGGAAAAAATCAGTCTTGTTGGAAATCTTTTACTGAATAATTGTAATAATAATTAGCTAACATTAGATCTATTATATAAAAACTATCAACGATCAGGATGCTTCGCATTTATACATTTATTTAATAATTATTTTATTTTATATTTGCAGAATTACATTACATGCATTGATATATTAATATATAATAAAATTAAACAACTATTTTTACTGATAAATTATTTTAAATCTAAGAAAAATATTATTTTCAAAGGTATGTGACAACTTAACAATTAGGATCAATTTGTTTCAGAAATATTTCGAAAAATAGTAATGCTTTCAATGATAGAAATGTTTTTCCTTTATTTTATATTAATTTACACCATTTTTAAATTTTTTTTCATCAGCTATTTCTGTATGAGAGATATTTCAAAAAAATACTTTTAACTGAAAATCTATTCAGAAGGATAAGAAAACTGATGATGATCAGAAAATTTATAAAAGTATTTACAATATGTGTAAAAATGAGATTTTTTTTAAAATGAAAACAAATTTTAAAATGAATTAAAATAAATTATTCGCATATTCATTTTATATATCAAAACAATAAAAACTTAAGTCATTTCATTAACAGTTATAATTTATTAATTACTAACAACCAGTTTAACAATTTAAATATGTTTTCTCTAAATTATCCCAAAACTGCATATGGTCATGTTCAGGATTTAATTGCAAGTTTAAACTACTACTGATATTCATATATGTTAGATTTTCACTGCCTGTAACTGGTAACCATTTAACAGGAATTAATTCAGATGTCTGTGGAGTAGGATTTCTGTAAAAATTACAAAAATAAAATTTAAATGGACAATAAACAAATTCATAGTCTCATGGGAATTTTTAAAATCCAAAACCAATTTGCAAATGATACTAAAATCAAGCAAGGTTTCAATATTATAACTCACCCAGACTTGATAAAATTTTCAACCATGCTCATGACCCTTAGATGAACTAATCTACAATCCACATCTACTTTTGGAAAATTTTTGCAATAGAAAATATAGTTTTCATCATTGGCGTGCATTGCCTTTTTAAAATGAGTTGTGTTGAGTATTATTTTGAAGTCACTATAACCATCAAAGGTGAAAACGTAGTAGTACAATTCAGCATCTGAATTAGTTTTAAGTAGTTGCACAGCTTTGTTAACTCCTCTTTTAAACCATGTGTCACCTTTTATGTCAATATAATTCATAAAATTACCACCGGTTGACGATACATTTGGATAATAAAACTCCTTTATCTTATTGGCAACTTGAAGAGATTCATTCGAATTCTTTTTTAAACACAACTCTTTTGGAACATATCTTTCAAAATCTACATTCATCAATCCAAATCCTATGGGATCATTTCTTGCATCTGGTATTCCCAATATACCTTCACCATCGCAATAGCCTATATATAAAGGAATTTGTTGAAAATCTCCTGATTTAAATACTTCAAGTGGAGATTTTGTTAAAAACGACTCTTGATTTGGGAATACTTTTTCTTTGGTTGGTAAAAATATCATATTTCTGAGCTGCAAATTTTCATCGGAGGATATTGTAGATATAGGTGGTGTACCAGTTGCTAATATTAAATCTATTGCAGGAATAGTTATAAGAAAATTGTAGACGTCTTTATCATCAGCTGGTTCATGACCTAGTACTCTGCATAACTTATAAGCATTCTGTAAAAGAACAAAAAAAATATTATATTTGAATCTATCGAAAGATAAAAACAATGATCAAAATAACCCAAAGTATATAGAACAGAGCTATTTTTATTAAAATGCAAGTTTTGCATAAAATATTTCAATGTACTTTCAAAAATGCTCCAAACTTTGAGAAAAAAAAGTGATATACCGCAATAAAAAATTACACAGAAAAGGTAAGAAAACATCATAATATTAATTAGATATATAAGTTTCTATATCACTATAATATAAAATATTCATTTCATTTGTAATTAAAATAATCATAAAATTATTGAGATTCAAGAAAACAAAATTGAACAGTTTTTGATTTTCTTTAATAATATGGTTGATAATTAAAGTACCTCTTTTGGGTCTTCCTGATAAGCCCAAGGATTTAGAGCGCTTCCACTCATTTGGATAGCTTTATGAAATAATCCTTTGGTAATATTTGTCAAATATAAATAATTGACACTAACTGCACCAGCAGAAACCCCACTTATTGTCACATTATTTGGATCTCCTCCAAATGATGCAATATTTTCATTTACCCATCGCAAGGCAGCAACCTTAATAAATTAGACGGAATTACATTCTTATGAAAAATGAATTTTTCTACCTTTTAAAATTAGCTATTGCCTGACCAAGTGTTAATAACCTAAAATCCAATCATTTAACGTTTCTGAATACATAACAGATATAAAAATATATGCGCAATAGCATTCTTTACCTTGTACACACTATTATTATCCATGAACGCTAATGAAACTTTTAAAATAAAGCTATTCACATAGATTCACCATAAAGTTTAGTAATCGGAGAAGAACAAAAAAAAATACTTAATGTTTTGTTTTTCATTGATAATTAAAGTTCATGATATTATAATCAGTCTCGATTATTGTCACTCATCTTATTTTCATTGATATCGTGTCTTAAGGCAAATTGCTGTAACTTCCCGTACCGTAATTAAAAATTTTGGTACGGAACCCAAAAAAATTAAACAAAATGTGTACACATTATTAAAATCTCTATAAAATATCTGATATTTTGATGTACATATGTCTAATAAACATTTTTGACCGCCAAATGACATTTTTTAACTTATTTTTTTTGAGAGTTCATAACCGTTGGATCTGCCTTCCTAAAAAATTTTTTGAATTATTAAAATCGGACGCTCCGTTCTTTTAAATACTAAGCTACAAATCGATTTTTTTTTGAATTATTCAAATCGGTTGATCGGTGTTCCCGAAATAGTCGACGAATTTTATATCCGCACACACACACACATACACACACAGACATACATCCATTTTTTTTAAGATATGCCAAAATATTCAAAAACCTTTGAAACGTTAAGATATATAGAAATTTTCATTTTCGATTTTTTTGCGATTACTTTAATTTTGCGTTAATAACTGCAACTAATAACGAAAACATATTGCCTATATAGTACGTACAAATTAACATATAGGGTAAAGATATAACGAAATGTTAATTTTGAACATCACTAAAATCAGCAGATGAAGCCAGAAGGTAGCTAATTGTGTATCGTAAACAACCTTTAGGGTTGCATGAATTTTTTAAAATCAATCAAGTTTCGTCTTTTTATCTGTGACTAAAAAGTTTGTTTTTAGAAATAGTAAGAGTGTAAGTTAAAAGCTAATCACCTTTCACGAGTTTCAATTTTTTTCTCGGATTCGTATGAATTACACTGCAGTGCTTGCAAAATAGAACTGTCATTTTGTCTATGGTATAAGTATGTCATTTTATCCGAAAGTGAACAAAAATGAATAAATAATTAAAATTGCATCTAGTTCTTGCAATGTATTTGGTCGAAATTTCTAATATATGTATCAGTTTAATGTTTTTAATAGAAATAATTGGATATAACAATTAGTAACTATCCAAAAAAAACATGAGAAAACTATACTCAAGATAAACTTTTGTAGACGCGATATACGTTTTAACTGATTAATTTTGTGACAATGACGGTCAACATCTGACTGAATTGTTCTCATGATTTTCGTTCCACTATATAGATGCAAAAAAATTATTAAATCTATTCAATTTTTGAAAAAGTCATTGTGATGAAACCATGTCATTTTGCCCATGCAAGTCATTTTTCTTAATTTTCTCCCCTGTTATTCGTGTACCTGATCTTTAAGCCCAGCATTTCCAGGTGCTTCTCCGATATCCAAACTCAAAAATCCAAATAAACCCAATCTATAGTTTATGGTCACAACGACGATGTCTCGTTCGACGATCCAATCGGGCGCATTTCTCAATGTATCGCCTGAACCTGCGATTAAGCCGCCACCATGTATGTGAAAGAGCACCGGCAGTTTAGGCTCACAGACATCCGAAGTGCATGGCGTGTAAACGTTTAAATATAAACAATCTTCATCACCTATAAAGAAAAGCATTTATTTGTAATTTGAGATCGTAAGGTAATTAATGGATTCAAATTCAAAGTAAAGCAAAACGGTCTTGACCGAAAATTTAATTGTCTTTTATATACAAGATACAATTTATTGTTAAGGTGGAGTCCATTAATTACATGATCATTTTTTAAGGAGTTTTATACTATCCTTCTACTTGGTGATACGTCGTGATATTTAAAATTAACCTTCTCTCACCAAACATCACGTGTATTTTTAGTTATGTAAAATTTTTCGCAGAAATTTTCAAAATTTACGAAAAAATCGTATTTTTTTTTTGAAAATGTTTGACTTTTTTTTAAATCCAGGCAAAAATACACCTGAAATTTTTCTAAACCTCTTCCTCTCCCCACGTAATGTTTTGTGAATTTTTGTCAAACCCTCCCTCCCCTCAAAAGCGAATAAAGACGCCCTCTAATATGACCAGGGCGATCGTGGCCCTGTAGTTAGTCTTTTATCAAATTTTCCTCGAGTTTATTTTTTATACTATCAATTGATTGGCATTTGATTCAGACATTCTAAGTACTCAAAAAAAAATCCTGATGTTTCATGATGAAATAGGTGCAACTATATAAAAAGAAAGAACAAAAACTACATTTATCCAATACCTATTTATTATTTTGGTAAATTGATTGATTGATCCAAACGCAATTTCAATTTTAAAGCAAAGTATTTTGTTTTTGGAATAAAAATTAATTGCATTTTTAAATTCACACTTAAGACGCTTTTTATTTTTTATTTTAATTTATTAAATTTTATTTTAATTATATCAGCTCTGTAACTCATAGTCATTCTGACTCTGATTGTTATAATTAATAAAATAAAATAAAAAAAAAACTTAAGACGCAATACTTTGTTTATAAATATTCAATATTAATAATATGTGATAATTGATTGATCAAAATTGATTCCAAATTTAACATTGTTTATAAACATTCAATATTCCCAAATTTTAGATAATGTAATTTTATTTCACAGATAATATTATCGTGTTTTTGTATTCATACTTAAGAAATAATTTATTGTATAGAAACATTTATTGAAACAAATATGATCCCTGAAATATGGTGAAGAAATTTGTTCTTGGCAGAGAATTCTATTGTATTTTTATATTCACACTTTCAAACAAAATTCATGGCGTCAATTTTATCATTATTATTATTTCATTATTAACTTCCCGTAGGGTAGTTATAGTAATGGGCCAAAAATCGAAAATAAATTTTTTTGCATCTCTTCACGTTTTAATGGTTTCTGAACATTTTGGCATACTTCAGAAAAAATGGATGTGTATGTGTATTTTCATAATTGAATCTGGAGTAGAATGTAGCAAATAAAGTATTAATTATATTTTTTATTTCATTTATTGTGAAATCTGGTAAAAAAAAAACAATGAGCAGGAATGGCGAATAATATGAGAAGTAAGGTATAACATTTTGATCGGATATTAATATATACATATAATTATCAAACAAGCTTTCATCGACTTTACTGTGGTTTCTTTAATCTTTTATGCTTAATAATGTTGAAAATTTTTGGAATAATCTTCAACCACGGTATACAATATCTACTATCAAGAAAAATGGCAGAAAATCAGAATGGATGAGTGTGGTATCTTTTAGATTCAAGTAGACCTTATTGCCTATACCTTGAATTTAAGCAATTTTTTATAATAAAGTACACATTAGTTTTAATAACTTCTTCTTATATTACCTATATCTTATACTTACCTATAACTTTTAAATCACTTGATTCGATAGATATACATGCGTTTCCAACTTTAGATGCAATTCGAGTTCCATTCCAACTCTCTGGTGGCAAAGGGCCCTAGAACCAAAAAAAACTGTAGATTACCCATCTGTCAAATGATTAATGCCGAAAATTCATGTCTAAACTAAATGTATCATTTGCTAAGTTTAATAATCAGATACTTTTACCACAACTATTTCGACATTATGCACAATGTCACACTCAAAAGTCAAGACAAAATAAATTAAGCTATACAAACATATCTGTGATAATGTCCTAAACTCAAAACGGGATATGGTGATACCTACAAAAACATTTATGATACGTGAATCCTTAAGAACTATCCAATAATTAAAAAAATTAAATTGACATGTCGAGGTTTTTGATAAATTTGAATGCAAGGACCAAAATACATATTACTTCGAATTATATTGTGATGTGAATTTAATTCTAATTTTAATTACCTTAAAACGTAGACTTCCTACTGGTGGTTTTGCGTATGGTATACCTTGGTAACTATTGAACACAAATCCATCTTCGGTAATAGACTGTTTTCCTTCTAGAAGTCCTTGATTTATTTTCACTTTAGGTCCACATATAACTTCACTCACAATTACTATCGTATTTAGAAAAAAATAAACTAATTTTCCCATATTAAACCAGAATTTATTTAAATCAATATTAAAGAGATCACATCGATACTAATGAGATATGGGTTTGGTCTCATATTTACTGGTTTACCTTGCTATGGATAAAGGCATATTAAATTATTCAATCACGTGAGAAAACAGAGAGGGATTTATATATATATATATATATATATATATATATACATATATATAAATATATATGCACACTGAAAATCTCTTTTTTATATCAAAAATTTATCTTCTGGCTTCTTCTTCAGGAACTACAAATACCAACACATTTTTTTATACATTTATAAATAATTTATAAATTATAAATTCCAAATTGAAAAAATATTTTATTGATCGTTCAGTTAATGAACACAAAAAAATTGAAGCCTCCTCCATTTTCAAATTCCTCTCTTTTTGACCTCTGTAAAGTTTCATCAAACTTCTCAATATTTGTAGATATCTAAAAAGTAGGTAAAAGTGTCAAGCACATAATGTAACACTAATATCTGATTGATTTTAAATTCCTTTTATTTTTACATGCAATACTACGAATAATATTTTAATATTCACTTATGCATTTATTACATAATAATATTAATAAATTGGTTAATTAAAGTATATTCTTATTTTCTTGGTTAATTATCGCACAGCCAATCATTATATTTTTCCTTTAAATTATGCCAGTAGTCCATATTTTTCTTATAAGGATTTTCAAGAATTTGTAAATTTGAATTGATATCTAGATAATGTAGTCTGCGATTCGTAACTGGTTTCCATGTGATAGGAAGCAAATTTGATTTTTCTGGTATCGGATTCCTATAAAAGAATAAATAAAATTTATAAAATATTGAATTTTTTGTAATTAATTTATTAAAATCCTAAAATTAGTTCTTTTATAATAGTTTGGATTAAATACGTTAAGCTTGTAGGTGGTGATCTGAATTAAATTCTAAAAGTAATAGATGGTAATAAATAGTAAGTAGTAGATCAAGTAAAAACACTCTTTCTCTGTGTCACAAATGAAAATCAGATTTTTTTGAAACAAAGATTTTTATGAAAAAATATTTAAACAGAAATTTCTTGAATTCGGAATACTGATAGCTGTTAAAATGTGGATTGACCAGAAGCTTCATCAGTATTTAAAATATAACTTTATGGTTTGATTCTCACCCAGTTTTTGCAAAATCTGTATACATTTTCACCATCTGTTTCCGCATATTTTCCACACTAGTTATATTCCTAGGCAAGTCTACCTCTTGATGTTTGAAAAGATAAAAAAGATCTTGACAATGTGTAGCACCTTCATATTCTGTCTGGTGATTTATTTTCTTAGGAACACTAAATTCATCAAACGAAAACATATAATAGTATACAGGTTCCGTAGATTTTTCAGCTACTAGTCGAATTGTATCTTCTATTCCAGTATTGAACCAAGTTTCACCTTTAATACTAATAAAATCTTGTGTATTATTTATGCTTACTGGACGGTTTCCATAATAAAAATCTCTAATTTCTGAAGCTACAATATCAGCAGTTTTAATGTCAAGACATAGTTCTTCAGGAATATATCTTTCGAAATTTTCATCAGTCAATCCAAATAGAAATGGATCAAGCAGACCATCTATTAAAGCAAATATTCCTTCCTTATTTGTGTAACCAGCCATATAAGGAATATTATGAAATTGGCCTTTCTTTAATGAAGTCATTGGTGATTCATCAAGAAACGGTTCATCTGAGTTGTGAAACCTTTTTTCAATAGTTGGTAGGAATACCAAATCCCTGAAAAACTTATTGTAATCTGCCATCACTGTAGTTCCTGGTGTTTGACCAATGACCTCATAAAGTTTTCTTGGCGGAATTGTTTGCAGGAATTTTAATATTTTAACTTTATCAGTTTCTGAGAAACCAAAGGATTTACTAAGCTTAATCGCATTCTGAAAAAAAATTAATGAAATTTATTGATGATTTAAATGCCACTTGAATTGTCGTATAATGTACTATTTTACACACAAAAATTATTATTAAAAACTAGATGACCCGACAGACGTTGTCCTGTACCCATGTCTACAATTTTTAAAAATATTATACTAATATTTACCGTTTGCCTAAAAATAATAATTATTGTTTTTTAAATTACTCTTCACGCTAAAATGCATATACATTTATAATATGAGCGATGTTAAATGTAGAACTGCTTTAAATAAAATGATGAGTCTCAATTCCCACACTATATTGTAAATTGAAGTCTTTTGTATGTAATTTGGACCGAATTATATGTATTTATCTTTAGTTTACTTACTAAAAATATTGTGCAAAGATTAGTAAAAGATGCAAAGAAATTATTTATATGAAAAAAAAATTATATTGAAATTTTAATATCCGAATCTTGTGTTGGCGCCCCCTAAGGCGTGCGCTCGTATTTTTCGCATGCATCACATTAAAGGTACGACCGGCCCTGATTAATACTTAATTTAATATTTTAAGTGAATTAATTTGTCATATCCTGTTTATATGTGTATCATTCAATCTGCCATACATATACTGTATCTTATATTATTTTAATTTCTGGCACATCTCAGCTGCTTTTTGGCAATAATAACGTAGACATTTAATTTTTCTCATTCATAATCATAAATTTATTATACATATTCTAACATTGTTTAGGTTTATAAGTTAATTGAAATTTTTGGCAGATGATAGTTTTCATTTGTTTTCAATGAAAACAATGACATATCGTTTTTTGCAATTTTTTCATTTATTTCTACAATATTGCACATACATCCCAGTTCTTTATAATCTCATACATCCTAGAAAATTTCCTTAACAAACTTCAAAAAGATTTATCAAAATCTGAATAATAATTTAGGAGGAGTATACAATGAGTGCTTGTAATTTAATATGAACTTTATATAAGAGCAATAAAGCTCAAATTGATTCTACGTTTTAGTTAGAAAACGTTTGTATATGAAAAAGAAAAGGGCTGTTTTTAGGGGTTTTTCGGCAATTATTGGATTTTTTCTTGCCGTAAGAACCATCCTTGGACTTCAACGAACATTTTAAAAAAAGAATTGGCCAAATTGGTCCAGGCGTTGTTGAGTTATGCGCTTACCGACACATTTTGCGATTTATTTTTATATATAAGATTATTTCTCATTGGTTGAAATATATTTTACAAAAAACAACAACAATTAATTAAACAACAAATCTTACTTCCTCTCCGTTTAAGATATGAGCCCAAGGATTTAGAGCTGAACCGCTCATTGAGATACCTTTATGGAACAGATTTTTAGACAATTTGGATAAAAGTAGATAATTGACACTAGCCCCACCAGCTGATTGCCCGAATACTGTCACATTATCAGGATCTCCTCCAAAGGATCTGATATTTTTCTGGACCCATTTTAGAGCAGCGACCTAAAAAAATAATTACAAATATTCTAATGATGCCTCATAGAAACAAAGATAGCATAATGATTGATTTTTATATTAGGAAGCAAGAAGTGACTAACTTGATCTTTCAATCCAACATTTCCTGGGGCCTCAGGTATGTTCAAACTAAGAAAGCCCATGACTCCGCAGCGGTAATTAATTGTAACCAAAACGATATCTTGTTCAATAAGCCAATCTGGTTCATAACTTATCGATGAACCAGAACCTGATTGGAAACCTCCGCCGTGAATAAATACCATTACTGGTAATTTAGATTCATCAGCAATATTAGATAGCTTTGGTGTATAAACATTTAGGAAAAGGCAGTCCTCATCTCCTGAAATGATATTTAATTAGTTAATTCTTTAATCTGTATAGCAGTTATTTTCAAAAGCTTGATCAATAATAACGTATCATTTGAAGTTTTTGCAAAGCTTAATGGTCAACTCCAAAATACAAAAAAAAGGAATTTCATAATAAAATGTAAAAATTTGTCTTCTTTATAATTAAAATTTTATTTTGGTTCAATTAAGAGAGCTTATTTGCACTTTACTTAATATACGATTTGCACTAAAATGGTATTATTAATTTTTACATGTTATGAGAAATTATTATAAATTCAAGTAAAGATTAACATTATTTATTGTTGTGCAATTTAAATTATTTATTTGAATTAGTTAAACTGCACGTCAACTTACTAAATATGCTCAAAAGATTATTTGTTTACTAAAATTATAAGTGCAAATATTGTAATATATCTGATGAGATAATAGTAATACTTCGATCGGCCACATTTTCATACACTTACTATTAATTATTATTAATCTGAAGGGTGATAAAGTATAATTTTTTATATATTCAAATATCAAAGAAATAAATTATATTCCTTTTGTTTCTTCAATAATTATTTATTGTCAATTTACCTGTAAGTTTTCTGCTGTGAATACCATACTGCATACATATATTTCGTGCTACAGTTGCGTTTAGTACACCTTTCCAAGGATCAGGTGGCTGAGGATTCTGTGACAATTATATATATATATATATATATATATATATATATATATTTATACTAGCTGACCCGGCAAACGTTGTTTTGCCATAAAAAAATAAGTCTAGTATGAAAATAACTAATTGATTTCAAATTGGTATTGGCAAGTGAAAGGGCAGCTAACAAAAAACATATGAATAGTTTATCCACTGCAAAGCACGTCACATATAAATGTTCCTGGATAATATTCATAGTCTATGCAAAAACCAACCTAATCTGAAACTGATTCTATTTATATCAATTAGCACATTTACAGTTTCAAGATTTTGATATATAATTACCGCGCTTTTGATTAATTCATTTCTAAATTATGTTGTTTATGGCACGGCTTGACCGATTTTTATCTAAATTTATATTTACGTTAGTTGGGACTCTACCTCTAATACCTCTAATTGATGAGGCTTGATGATAACTAAGATTTTTATTTTGTGGGCCAATTTATTTTATTTTATTATTATTAGTCGGAAAAAATGATATGGCCTTAAATTTTCACTCCACCACAAACCCCTAAACCTCTTATACTCATGTTTTATTT